TGGTGTTTTATGGATCCAGAAGTTTGTCATTGGCAAAACGAGGTTTAACACATATTAAAATGGATAGGGAAAGTTGGCAGAGTGCCAGGTGGAACAATGAAATGTGGTTATCTAAACATTGGACTACACAATAGTGTGAGCTATTAGAAAGTATAAAATGCATGAGAATTCTCCATTGGTGTGTAAGCAATAAGACATTAAATCACACTGTCAGACACATTTCAACATTCTTACATAATAACACATAATACAAAACAAAATAATTAAATATCTGTTGCATATCTTGACACAATTGTGATCTTTTACGTATGTATCTTTTGAATCCTGGAGCACAGAGGCTTGAGGTTCAAGTGAAAAAATGTCCTTGCAATTCAACTCCTCCCCCCTCAGTCTACATCCTTTGAAAGAGATAGCTGTGAGCACTCTGGCGTCTGTTGTGCAGGTCTTGTGATCGCGAAGAACCGAGTTGAGGGAGGGGTTGTTGCCGCTTTTCATCATTGCACATCTGTATAAGTGATATCCTGTAAGGGGGCAGGGTTTTGGGGACTTAAAACACGGTTAGTCTAGAAAGAGAACTGTAAAAATACAAAGGTAAAAAAAAATAAAAGGGAAGAAAAAAAAATTAGATTACCAGTCAGATGAAACCAGACTTGACACAAAGACATCAGACTTAGAAAAGAATTATTATTAAATAATACAAAGATATTATCAAAACCACACGGATTACTACTGGACTGAAAAAATTGGGAAAACAATGGGGGGAAATTTAATTTAAAATTGTGCAAGTACCTTGCACTAGCCAAAATGATAGAATTAATAAGAAATGCTCAGGCAAAAGGTAAACAAATACCATTCCACAAACAATGTTTGGTTGTGCTTCGATTAACTTCATAGACATCATGGAAAAACGGATTAAATAAATGGAAAACAGATTATTTGTAATTTTAAAAGTGTCAAAGCCACAAAGAGATTCAGGCTTGTTTCACGGAATAGAAAGAAAGTCGCTGTGGGAGGAAAAAAAGGGACAAACACTTTGTTATTGGGGTTCACATATCCTGTTAAAAGGGAAAATTATTTCATGTGAGAAGCCTCTCAGGAAATGCTGTTCCTAAAATGCAGACAAACAAAGTCTGTGATTTTAATCCCATTGAGGGGTGGAATTCTTTGATATTTACCTGTGAAAAGAATTTGGCATGTTAAGATTTCAAACTTGGGACACATTAAGGGTGATTTCTCTCAATGGTTCCAAGTTTTACATAAAAAAAAAACCTCCTCCCCCCCCACAGTTCCCCTTCCTTCCTCTCTCTCTCTCTCTCTCTCTCATTTCTTTTCCTATCCTTTTTTTTTTTTTTTGCTGATCTAGTCTCTGTGCATGTGTGGAGTTCATGTCTCAGCAAACCTTTTATACTATTGAAATGTTGCATCTTTTGGCAAAATTAGAATAAGGAAGGGAAAGGTAAGGAGTAGATTTTAAAAATAGGGTTAGATTTTAAAACAACAAAAAAGAGAAACTCAGCAATTTAAGTATTCACCAAAGCTAGCAATTTCAGCCCAAGCAACAGGAGTGCTTCCTTTATGTACAGGAAAGGGCTATCATTATTGGTCATTTTATCTGGTCATTCGCGGAACAATCAACCGCTCTCTTATTTATGAGTAAAAATGGCCAGAGAGTTAGAATTCATAGGATTTTTTTTTTAACATTCTCAGCCTTACCATTTGCAGACAAATTTTACTGCCCTTTATTTACAGGATGGATGGTCAAGGCTAATTCTACTTGATTATATGAATTTTTATGTGCTTAAACTTTTAATAGACTTTTAAGTTTGATTTTTTTAAATAATAGACAAAATGATAAACACTGTAATCACTTAAATGCTTGATATTACCAGTTGGGCTTCACCTCTCACCTTTTAAAACTAAAGAGCAAAGCTAGGTTGAATTTCAACTCCATCACGTCACCAGAATTTAAGAAGTACCCTCCAATGCTTGCAGACACATGTCCTTCCACACAGCCACAAATCGGGAGAGTTGAAAGGGGACCCTGGGGTCATCTAGTCCAACCCTCCAAAATATAGGGTTCACAGCAAGATTTCGCAGCAAGATTTGTACTACCAAAGAGGCATACACATTTAAGTACAGATTTACAGCTGGGAAAGGAAACATCTATGCTCCTATCATGTACTAAGGAAGAGGAAAATAAAAGTACATAACTTTACACAGAACCCTTTTTGCAGATCTTGAGATAGTTTGAGTGAGTTTGAAATGATATTTAAGGAAGATTGAAGTGAACAGTTTTCGTAAGATAGGGAGAGGATCTCTTATAAAGCACAGTTAAAGCAGCCCTACATTTGATTTTTTTTAAGGGAATACACAAGTGTTGCCCCCCTCCCCTCTTCGCAGTTTCCTTTAAAGGAAGCTTACTCGGGAGTAAATTTACCTGGCACAGAAGAAGGGAGAAAACAACTGAAAGAGGCAGAGTGAAACAAGGGGGAGGGGGGCATTTTCTAACAAAAGAGGCCATGAAGTCTTATAGAGACTGATATCAGGAGCCTTACAATAACTCTTCTGTCCAACCAAATCAAAGTTAAAACTGGACTCAAATATTTTTCTTAGAATGAACACCATACTTTTATAGGCATATGCTTAATGAAGTACATACACTGCATTTTAGCTTGAGAGAGCAGTTGGCTCAACTAGTCTTTTGCAGCAGAAACGTTAGGTTATCAGCACCTTCCAAAATAAGACTGTAGACTCACAATCTCAAAAGTTGGGGCAAAGCAAGAGGTGGGGTAAACATTTGCACACTTCATTCTCAATTTTTGTCTTATTTAGGACTGCTAAGATCCAGCATGGCTTCCTTAGATTTAAATTTTGAAGCAAGCTTGCAGTTTAAACTATGCACACTTAAGAAAGGCAGTCTGCCAGAGACAGAAGGAACAGACAACACACATAACAGACAACATGTAAACATACATATTCTCATATATGTATTAACAGACAACACACATAACAGACGACATGTAAACATATATATTCTCATCCTTTAGTTGGTTATTGCAAGGAGTTGGGCCACTACCTTTGGCTTCATTAAGTGAAATTAGTAGGAAGGTCCCACATGGTTTTATGAGCCTCCTTGCCTCTTCAAACACACCACCAGTTAATCAAACTGGTAGGGCTCATAACGCTTGGTTGACTGGGTACCCCTTTATGATTCACACGTGTCTAGACAGAAAAGGGGGAAAGAAAGGGGTCTGTAAGGATTGGTATGTCTAGGGGTTTGGTATGCTTAGTACAGGGACGTATAGTAAAGAAGAGAAGGGGCTTCTAGTTGCCTGGCAACTTCCTTAGTGGGTTTTAGAGAGCTCTAGCTATCCGGTTCCTTGCGTTCCCTTTCCTATTTCCTTATTTCCTTATTTCCTATAACCTGGGGTCTCTTTCCACTCTGCCGGTCCTGCCCAATTCCTCATGGGCTATCCCTCCTGGCAACCTCCTACCTATCGTCACATCTCAGGAAAAGGGGCCCTACTGGACGCCTGCGCCATGCGGTGCCAGCTCGGGTGGTCCCTGGATAGAATTTCGAACTGAAAATCCCCCTTGCTTTTGGAAGCGGGCTCACGCACGATACACGTGTTACGTGGCACCGACCAGTGCGGCTGGGATTGGGATAGAAAGCCAGACCCCTTCCTGCCCCCTCCGTAAGGGCGCTCGGGAAGTTCGGAAGAAGAACTCCAGCCCCTTGCTTTCAACTGAGATGCCCGTTGCGGAGAGTCGGCTGTCTTTCCAAGCCGGGTCTCTCCGTCTTACTTTCGGGCTCCCAATTGGTGCGGCTGGCTGGAGATTTTAAGGAAAAGAGATAGAGCTCAGAACCCCCCTTTCGGGTTGAGCAGCGGTCCACGGTCTCTCTCACTAACCGGACCAAGAGAAAGGCAAGAAGGAGCGATAGAGAGGAGGGCAGAGAATTCAGTTGCCAGGAGATTCCACCCCCTTCCCACCAGTGCACTGGATTTCTTTTCCTATACTCACGCGTCTTCAACGTTGATCCCGGGATCGATGAATAAGCCGGCTGGATCCCTCTTTTGCTCCCCGGCTGAACTCCTAGGGCTTTCGATTACCGCCCAGAAGATGGCTGGGGGTCCAAAAGGATCTTCCCAGGCAAAATGGCCTGGAGCCGGCTGAAGATTTCGGGGCCCCCAGTCAGCAGCTCGGGAGAACCGCAAGCCCCACGTTGCGGCGCCAACTGTTACGGCTAAAATCTGGGTGCGGGGTTACTCTGCCACCCAGCTCATCGGACTAAGTCCGTGGGTCCCTGCGGAAGAAAATGAGCTCAGCCGGACGCAGGAGCAAACTGCAGAAGATCCAAGTTTATTGCGCAACAGGTTCAAGGTGAGATTGAACCGCGAAAAAGGGGTGACATGAACTTTTGAAACTCCCTCCATGTCCCAGAATACAGTGCAAAATACATCCCAGTTACATCATGAATACATTAAGGAAAGGTTGAGTTACACAGATTGCATCATGAATACATTAAGGAGAGGTTGGGTTACACTGGATTAACATATGGAGGAGGGAGGAGGGAATATGCAGAGCTGGAGATATGCGCAGATAAGCACATCCTGAGGAGACAATGGTCCATGTTTGCATAGTCTGTCACCTGGCATCGCCCGGAGGAAGGGCTTGGCAGATGGAAATAAATAGATATATTGTAGCGAAGAAGAAGGTGAAGACATGCCCCCCCCCCCGTTCCGTATCACCAACAATATGCAGCCAGAAGCACATGGTGTCTATACACATCCTAAGTCTGCAGATGGGTTGGAGAAATTGCTTTTTAAGAAGGAACATATTAGTAAGCCAGAGTGTCTAGACTATGCTGTTGTATGTTTCTTTTCTAAGCCAAGCAATTCAGTCCAATCTATTTTTTAAATTGTTTATCCGGCTAAACTGAGCACTGTGGAACATCGGCAAGTGCCCATCTCAAAAGGAATTGTGCTAAAGTTAGAAACCTGATTTAGGTCCCATGCTGCAGCTGTTTCCTTCTTCGCATGTGCCTTGGACGCGTTGGTGTGGATCAGATTCTACCTATGGAAGAAACAAAAACAGCAGGCAGAGAAAGGAAATGAGGGTCAGAGAGTGGGCTTTGATAGTTTGGGCCAGACTGGGGATCTTGGGAAGTTCTGTTTCTTCTGAACAATGCGGAGAAAAACACATTTTCCATGGGGGGGGAAATTGCTGTTACAAATAGCTGCCTGACAATGGAGACAAGCACTGTGAACCTTTTAAGTCAGGGATTTAAACAATGCTATTGGTCTGTATTATCAAGCAGAACAGACAGACAGATAAACAGTGAGCTTTCAAATGTGTTTCTTGTGGTTTCTATTTCCCTGACTGCAGGGCTTTGTGTGTGTGTATTTTCCAGAGAGAGGTTTAGGAATTGTTACAGAACTGGCAGCAAAATGCCAGACAGAGATAAAATGAACTGCATGGTATGCTTGTTTTGCATCAGTACTTTGCATCTGGTGCTCAGATGTATTTTTTTCCTCAGTTGGAGGAGATATAAAGCATCCTGCCATATATACACAAAACTTTGCACTTTGCTTTGGATGCTTCTACAGAGTTCTACATATTACAGGTTCTGTCCTGTGTGTCCTGCCACAGGGCCTATGGATGGGATTCCACTTGACTCAAGAGAGCCATGTTTCCACAACAACAAACATGAGAGCACAGAGACAGTTGTGAAGAACAAAGGAACTATGTACAATTTCCATATCACCAAACCCTTCATCTCCACAACACAAGGCATGTGAATAGCACATGGAGGGAGCACTGAATTCTCTTCAGTGTTGCTTCGTGTGCAGGAAAAAGGAAGGGCTGGAGCTCAGTGAGGCTCTTCCAGGCACTAGTGGTCCCATTCACAATGGGGGGGGGGCTATAATATTTTAGAAGGAAACACAGAACTTTAAAATGTATATCTGTGTGGTTTTTAGTAAAAAAAAATGGATTTAGAAATAAACATACATTTCTATGAGTGTATTGTTTATATAAGTGTGTACACACGTGTGTAATTTCTGTTGTTTATTTTTATTTAAAAGCATTTGTGTACCACCCAATATTACAAAAATCTTTTAAGCAGTTCACAGTCTAAACACAAATGTCACTAAAACAAAATCATAACCTAAAATTAGTTTTTAAAAAGCCATATAAAAACAAATAACAGCAAATAAAACAGAAATTCGGAAGATTCAGACATGGAAAACAGGGTCCAATCATACAACTCAGGGAACTCCTGTACAAAATGTTAAGTGTGCACAAGAAGGAAATGTTAAGCGTATCTTGCCCCAGTTTTGCATATGTGTTCCTTGGCTAGGGATAGGCTGTGTGAAGTAACCTGCCAAGTTTTCTGCTAGGGGCCTAATGAGTTATTCAGTCTCACTGGGCATCAGGTTCAGGTCCACAAATAGAATCTTTTTGCCATTCAAATCTCATTACTGCATATGTCAGATTTTACACTTTCTGTGTTATGTTTTACACATACATGGTTACCACCACCCCTGCTTTTCTGTTAGGTTTTCAGAGCAGTTAATATCTCAAAAAATAAAATAAACCTTTCTTCCACTAAAAAGGAATCATGTCACAGTGTGCTTTTTCATAAAGGAATGAGACACTTTAGAGACAAATAACCAACTTCAGGAGGCTGTGAATGTTTAAATGCAGCTTTGTTGCTTTTCCCTCTGGATATTTCCTCAACAGGGAGAAAAACAGGAAATGAGTGGTTATTTTAACTGAGCTGTTCATGGCATAAATACTAACGTGATTCATACAATTTCCCCAACTTGCGCTGAATGCTATTTCCACCTTTAACTCACAGAACGATTCTTTGAAAAAGAAGATTGTGTTCTTTAAAACTAATGATCCATTTCTTTTGTGTAGGCAGCATGGCTTTTTTATGGGCAGTTCAATTGTACATCACTGCAAAAGTGTTAAGGAATGCTTCAAATTGAAATATATATAAACCTTGATTTTTTAATTTTTTTTATTATTTCTAAAAGGTCAAGTGCTGTAAATACTGGCCGGATGACACAGAGATATATAAAGACATTAAAGTTACTCTAATAGAAACAGAGCTCCTGGCAGAATATGTTATTCGAACATTTGCCGTGGAAAAGGTTAGTGTTTAAAGATATAGTTTCTCATATGTTTCTAATCATGTCTGTGTTAAAGTTGCAACATCTTTAAAGTCAACCCTTTTTCCAAACTACTTTGTGGGTAATACTCTACTGCCCCCTAATGGTGAGGTCAGGTCCCCCCCCCCCATTTAAACAGCAACATGTTCCTCTCCAGTGGCTTATGAAATAGAAGTGGGGGCAGGACTTTAAATAGCTATTGTGTTTTAAGAAGTGCCACATTAAGGACTGGAAGATTGGAAGAAATTTAAAGATTATTTGCAGAAATACTGTAAAATTAATGAATGTTAAAATGATGTTGGATTGAAAATAAGTGGTATTGGTAATAAGGTTAATAAGAATATGCAAATATGGATTGATAATGGATGAAAATATATAGTTATAATAGGTTAAGATATAGAGTAAAGATAAATGAAAGAGGGTAAGGATTTGCTGAAATGATTTTGTAAATGGGAATACAAAAAGGGGAGGTGTGAGGAGGTCAAGGAAACAAGTAAATGAGCTTAAAGATATTGAAAAATGGATTTATTTTTAAATTTTTTCTTAGCTATTTGTTTTTTGTATTTTGTATTCTCTTTTTTTTATTCTTCTATGTATTTTTTGGTAAATTCTGTATTTTTCTTGTTATCTTTTTTCTTCTTTTTTCTATGTTTTCTTTTTAGTTTGTTAATTTTTGTTTTAATTGCCTTTATTCTGTAAACCTATGTTTTTTGTAAAACGCTAATAAATATCTTATAAAAAAAACAAAAAAAAAGAAGTGCCACATTAAGGAATTTCTGCTTTTGTTTTCTTTTAAAATGCTTTCTGCAACATTCCCGTTTCCTCTCTTTTTATTCAACGATGGATGGCCAGAGAGGTGCCCATGAAATCCGAGAAATCAGGCAGTTCCACTTCACAGGTTGGCCAGATCACGGTGTACCTTACCATGCTACAGGACTTCTAGGATTTGTCCGGCAAGTCAAGTCCAAAAGCCCACCAAATGCAGGCCCGCTGGTTGTACACTGCAGGTTCGTGCAATGAAAAGGCCTTCTGGCATGCCTAGTTGAGAAGGTCACTGTCTAATTTTATCCCTTTAAATTAAACACGCACTGGGCTGAGCTGTTTGTAGCCAATGTTAATTTGAATGCCTTTTTTCCCCCAACCACTGCTGATCGACAGACAGCAGTCTGTAGACAGGTTACAATGATCTACATCCTTAATAAGAAATTGTTACCCTCAAATGTGAAAGATGTCAGCTACATTGCTGAAAACCCTAATGATATATTTAAGGCACATTCAAATGATGTTCATTACGTATGCCACTCAAGAATCTGTTTTCAAATTCAACGGCAAGCACTTTCTGAACTTTTAACTTGTACTAATTGTGCTTTTGTATTTACAGCGCCGGTGCTGGCAGAACTGGGTGTTTCATTGTGATTGACATTATGCTAGATATGGCAGAAAGGGAAGGTGTTGTAGATATATACAACTGCGTCAGAGAGCTTCGGTCTCGAAGAGTTAACATGGTGCAAACTGAGGTATTCCCATCACCCTTTCCTGCCCCAGTCTCTCTCCTTGTGCATAAGAAAAATGCATTTCATTTTACCAGAAGTTAGAATTCAAATCCATTTAGGTGATGTGCCCTGTTGCTGCTTCCTGGCATTATTTAGCATCAGCTGCTTGTGTCCGATAGAGATGGAGCCATGCAGAAGGCTTATAATATGCATTAGAGTGACACAGTAAAAGTGGAAAGAGAGGTCACAGAGTGAGAAATGAAGTAGGGAGGATGAGAGCCAGTGTGGTGTAGTGGTTAAGAGCGGTAGTCACGTAATCTGGGTAACCGGGTTCGCGTCTCCGCTCCTCCACATGCAGCTGCTGGGTGACCTTGGGCCAGTCACATTTCTTTGAAGTCTCTCAGCCTCCACTCACCTCACAGAGTGTTTGTTGTGGGGGAGGAAGGGAAAGGAGATTGTTAGCCGCTTTGAGACTCCTGAAGGGGAGTGAAAGGCGGGATATCAAATCCAAACTCTTCTTCTTCTTCTTCCATGCAGAAGGCTTATAATATGCATTAGAGTGACACAGTAAAAGTGGAAAGAGAGGTCACAGAGTGAGAAATGAAGTAGGGAGGATGAGACCACAATGGGTGGCAATAGGGGTTGTTGGCAAGGTGAAGCTGGGGTGGATCAGGAAATATTTTGCAGTACATGTGACACCTAAGGAGAGACTTCAGCAAGCAGAGGAAACTCATTTACTCAGTACTGTAGGGAGTTTTTTCTTAAGTAACCGTGGCTGGCCAGTTCCTTATTGGAAGCATAAATGCAGTACATGAAGTCTCCTGCTGTTGTTTCCCAGCAGCTGGAGCTCAAGAGACATGCTGCCTCTGATCCTGGAAAGTAATGTGCCACGATCAAGGCTAGTACTCACTGACAGCATTCTTCTATGAGATTCTCTAATCCCTTTTAAAAGCCATCTCAGTTGGTGGCCATCAACACCATCATGAGTTCCATAGTATAGCTCTGCCCTATATGAAGAAGTGCATTTCCTGCTGCAGCTGTCAACTTACTGATGGTGGTAGGTTGAAAGCATATACACTTCTGCAAGGAGGAGAGAACAAAAATGGGACTAAGGGGAAACTGAATGCAGTCCAGAGTCGTAAGGTAGAATAACACCTGCCCTTCATATTTAGTGAATTACAGTAAATATGTAACACAGTAGTATTGTACTATGATAACGGATACTATAGTTGGTTTTCCAACAGCATGTGCAAAAGCTGAAAGCCACATTTAGTTCTTCATTTTTTCATTGGGAAAAAACCTATCATTTATGTGGGTACTATCACCTATCTCTTTACTTCTACAGGAACAGTATGTATTCATACATGATGCAATATTGGAAGCTTGTCTGTGTGGGGATACCTCT